AAAGGAGACAGAGGAGGAGACAAAAAGGAGACAGAGGAGGAGACAAAAAGGAGACAGTTGCTGGGGCTGACTGCTGCCTCTAGGCTGGAGACTGTGGGGTATCCATCGCTGGAGGTTTTTTGTGTCTGCGGCTTTTCTTCATCATCTATCTCCTCTTCTGTATCTTCTTCTGTCTCCTCTTTTGTCTCCTCTCCTGTCCCCACCCCTGTCTCCTCTCCTGTCTCCTCGTCTGTCTCCGTCTCTCCAGGGAACAGCACTAGCTCTGGGGGCTGCAGCAGAGTCTGAAAAAACATATGCTCCCTTCGCAGCGCCTCCCCATCGTCGTCCTCGTCCTCCTGCTGCTGCTGCTGCTGCTGCTGCTGCTGCTGCTGTTGCTGCTGCTGCTGCTCAGCCTCTGGCTCTACGTCGAAAAAGAGAGGAGGCATATCCTCATCGTCTGACTGTGGCTGCCGCTCTGCAGTGTCTCCGCCCCCTGTCTCTTGGCTTGCCGCTGCTGTCTCCTCAGCTGTCTCCTCGCGTGTATCTCCTCCTTCTGCCTCCTGCTCCTGCTGCTCCTGCTGCTGCTCCTGCTGCTGCTCCTGCTGCGGCTCCTGCTGCGGCTCCTGCTGCTGCTCCTGCTGCTGCTCCTGCTGCTGCTGCTGCTGCTGCTGCGCTGCAGCACCTGCAGGAACCTCCTCGTCCTCCGCTTCACCTTCAGGCGCCTCAGGTGCATCAGCAACAGCTGGCACCTCATCGTGCTGCTGCTGTCCCCCTGCTGCAGCAGCAGCAGCAGCAGCAAGAGCAGCAGCAGGGTCTAGCGCCTCTCCCCCCTCCCAAGCTTCCTCAGGGGCCTCTATAGATTCGGGCTGCTGCTGCAACCCCTTCATCGCCGACAAGGAGGAGAGGCTGTCTTCTGTGTCTTCTATATCAGAAGGGAGACGAAGCCCAGGTGTATCGACACCTGGACGGCGAGACATGCGGCGCAGATGCCCCACNTCTTGTCTCCGGCGCAATTGAGCTTCTCATCGCATGCAAGCTCCTTTCCTACAGCGCTACCTGCTGATGCCTCTGGCGCTGCTTCTGCTGCTGCTTCTGCAGCTGCTTCTCCTGCTGCAGCAGCTGCTGCTGCTGCTGCTCCTGCTGCTCCCGCTGCTGCCCCTGTTGCAGCAGCCTGTCCGCCCCCCTGCATCGCCCCCCCGGATATCTCCGGGGAAAGAGCGGCACCTAGCTGTTGTGGGGCGGCCATTAGAAGTGAATACGGCTGTGGAAGGGAGAAATTTGGTCAAGTGTTGAGTTGTTGCTGCGGCGTGAGGTGTACGTACACCTGAAAGGTGAGAAAGAAATGCTGCAAATAAAGCAAAGTGCCGAGAAAAGGCAACAAAACAGAACTATATTTTAATGGTTTCGGCCTAATGGAGGCCTCTTTGGGCCCCCAAAACAAAAACAACAAAAACCTAACAGCACCCTGGTGCTGCTGCTGACTGAGAGAGATGTTCTCTCGTCGCCTGCGCTTCTTCTGCAGCACGCAGGCTTCAGGTTGTTGCTATGCAGGTGGAAAATAAAGTTTTATAAATTCAAAGAAAAAACAAAAGCAATGAAAAAACAAGAAACCCTCACCGCATGCAAATACACTAAAAAAAAAA